GGATTTGCCCAAGATCATAGAGGTAACAAGTGATAGAGTCAGGAATTGAACCCAGGTCCCCTGCCTCCAGAGCCCACTTTGAGCCACACCAAACTCCCTATAAGAAGGGTAATGGAAATTCTATCTGCTCCTTTACAGATGAAGTAACTGTGTTTCAGAGGGGGCAACTCACTTGCCAGAGTCACAGTTACAGAGTGATAGTGTTAGAGACAATTGTTATTCAGTCACGTCCAACTCTTCAAGACCCCATTTGGGGTTTTCTTGGCGGAGATACTGGAGTGGTTTATTATTTCCTTCTCCAGTTCATTTTCCAGATGAAAAAACAGAGGCAAACAGGGTGAAGTGACTTCCCTAGGGAAACACACCTAGTAAATGTCTGAGGTTGGATTTGAACCCAGAAAGATGAGTCCTCCTGACTCCAGGCCCAGCACTCTATCCACTGAGCCACTTAGCTGCCCTATTACAGTCAGTACTGGAACCCAAATTTTAAAATTCTAAAACCATGTAGGATCCAAAGATGTTTACTCAACTCTCTTCTTTTGAAATGCCTGTGTGACTCTGCTCCAAGGCAACCTGAAGGCCCTCTAGATTCTTTTGACCTGCCTCAAAGATTCTGGGGATCCTCTCCAGTACAAAGAGAATCCAGGTAAGTAGGTGGTGATTGAGAAGGCTTCAAGTCACCTTGCACCTTTGCTCAGCAAGGGAGCTGAGAACTAGAGGAATTTCCACAGCAGGGAGCTGATCAGAGGGCTAGGGGTATTCCAGAAAGAAGGCAAGACTTTTTAAAACAAGAAGCCAAAAAAAAAAAACAACCCCAAGAAGCCAAGAGTGTGCTTTGGGTCAGCAGAGGGAACTATTTGGACAGAGGAAATAGGCATTGACAAATTGGAGCACACCAAAGGAAAACAACCAGGATAGTAAGAAGACCAGAGACTAGGGATGGAATGGTTAAAGAAAGGGTTAAGTCTAGAGATGTTTAGCCTAATAGGTGGCTAAAGCTATTTAGCCTACTCAGTCAGTCAACAAGCACTGTACATATGTTTATAAATAAATATACATATATTTATACAGATATATGTATAAATATACATATGTTTACACATATATAAGTATATAAATAAACATGTGTATATTTATTTATATATGCATACTAAACCTAGGAAAGAGAAGGCTTAGTAAAAAGATAAACTTGCTGTCTTCAAGCATTTAAATGATTGCTATATGGAAGGGATTAGACCATTCTGCTTGGGTCCAAAGGGCAAAAGAGAGAGGCAGCCTGGCATAGGGGATGGAGGAAAGGCTAGACTTGGAGCCAGAAAGACCTGGGTTGAAATCCTATCTCTGACACTAGTAATATGGCTCTGGACAAGTTACTTAACCTCTCTGAGGCTCAGTTTCCTCACCTGGAAAAATGAGGGCCTTGGGCTAGATGGCCTCTAAGGTTTCTCCTAATTCTATGAGTTAAGAACAAGGAGTAGAAGAGGAGAAAGGCCCAATTTTGCTCTCCTCATCTATAAAATGAAGGGATTGGATTAGATGGGATCTGAGCAGGTATTCTGGCAAATGTTTAACAATCAACTCTCCTCTCAAAAATGTGCACTGGACACACTTTAAGTTTAATCTGCATTATTAATATTTTCTCTGTCACTTTCATAAGTGTAAACAATGATCAAATTCTAAATCAAGCCCTGATTTGTAGCATTTGCCAATTTCTGCAGTGTTAAGGGTCACACTGAAAATTTAACAGTTTGAGCTGGTTTTGAAGCCCCTTCCTGCTCTCTCCATGACTCTCAGATGTCACTGGATGTGAAGAGAAACTTGCCTTGCATTGTAGCTGTCCCACGGTGAGGAGGCTGCCTCAGAAGAGGGCAGTTAGTTGTCTCATCACAGGAAATATTCAAGCCAAGGTTCTGGTCTCATTTGTCAGGGAGATTGTTGAGGGCATTCTCAGCAAGGTAGAGGTTAGATTACTAGGTGACCTCTGAGGATTCCCCTGACTTTGAGAGTCTGGGATTTGGATGCAATATGGACACCTCATCCTTACCTTTCCCACCCTACCACATCACCCCCTGAGGAAAGTGAATGGCCCAAGGAATTGTATTTTTATAAATGGTAAAAACAAAAAGAATGGCTAATTTGGAAACTTGGACCAGAATCAAAAATTGGGGACTAATTTTCCAGCATTGATACTTGGAACCGAAGATTTGTCAGGAGACACCAAGTTGCATTACATGATTATCCAGTCAACAGATGTGACTACCATGGGCCTTATTAAAAGAATCTTGACTCTTTAGGGATGCAGGCATGTGCATATTAAAACAATCCCCTAGTGAGAGCTTGGCACCTCAGGCCCTAATCATCAAACCAAAAGATTCCAAGTTTTCATTCAAGAAAGTTCGGCCATCATCAAATTAACCTCAGTAAGGAGCAAATACCGATGTGGAAAAATGAGTCTGTGACAGCCTGTACCTGTCTGTCAGTTCCCAAAATATTGAGGTGAAGAAGCAATTGTCTCATTTAATTCCTAGCCACGAGCTATTTCACAAAACACTCCCACATATTTCTCATTGTTCTCTACCTTGTGAAGGCATGTTTTCTTGCTGGTGTCATCCTTGGAGGTGACAATGCCATCTGTTTGATGCTGGAAGGATGTTAGAAATCATCAGCTCCAACCTAGCACTTTATGGAGAAGGAAGTTTTGGCCCAAAGAGAGCAAGTAACTTGCCCAAGGTTATATAGTTAATAAGACAGGTAGGATTTGGACCTGTCTGCTGGTTCCAAATCCAGGGTATTTTTTTTCAGTCATACTACTATTCTTGGATGTCAGAATTTTTAAAAAAAATTGGTAAGCTGTATTTGAATAGCAGAAAGTCAGAAACAATCCATTTGCCCATTGATTGGGGAATGGCTGGACAAAGTGTGACACCTGATGAGAATTTAATTCATTCTAATTTAACAACCATTTTTAGTTAGTTTTTTTATTAAAATCTATTTTCTCTCCCTCCCTTCCCTCATTGAAAAAGAAAATAATTGTTAATAAATATGTATAATTAAGCAAAATAAATTCTTTTATCAGCATGTCTAAAAAACATGTTTCATCCCCTCTGTGATAGGAGATGGGTGCAGGCTTCATTATCAGTCCTCCAGACTTCTGGTGCTCATTGCATTAATCAGAGTCCTTGAGGCTTTTGAATCTGGTTTTTGCAGTTATTGTACAAATTGTTCTCCTGGTTCTGCTAGAAACATGTATTTCTTGAGAGCTCTCATGAACTGCAAGATAAACAACCATATTATAATATTGAAAGCCGGAAGGAATATTAAAGATCAGCCAGTCAGCTCCCCACCCCTCCCCATGACAATTCACTGAGTCCTGAGCAACCCTCAAGCACATTCAAATAGCTGCCTAGCCTAGTTTTCTTTGTAAAAAGGCATAATAACTAAGTTCCCCTTTCCCCTCCTCCCCAGGAATCTAGTGAGGAGCTGTGAGGTATGCCTGGAATTCCAGCTTGGGAGAAGATGACTGAACAACCAGGACCTGCCATTGTGTGTTCAGTCTATGGTAGGAAGTTCCTCCCTTCCCCCCTGACTTCCTGAATAACACAAATGCGATGATTATTATCACACTTGGTCATCCCAGGGGGAGGCTCTGCTCCTGGTCCTAGCGATTGGCTTTTAAAGTAAGATTGTCCCTGAGCCGAGAGTTTCATTAAATCAGAAAGCTCTTCCAGCTCCTGCTACTCACTGGGAAAGGCTATGGTTAACGATGTTCCTCCGTCCGACACCCCTCTGTCTCACTGACATCCAACTGATAACCTTTCAAATATTTAAGGACACCCATGAAGATGAGGCCCTTCATCTTCCCAGTCACCTTTCTCTCCACACTTTCCAGTAGAGCAAAATGTACATTAAACCATCCCAAAGCACCACCTGATGTTCATTAAATTGGCAGATAATTTAAAATAATAAAATTCAAAGTTTTCCATTTTTTATTTAATTTTGTTTTCAATTAACAAAAATCCATTTTTTTCCTTCCTCCTCACTTTTTAGAAAAAAAGAAAAGAAAAATCCTTGTAACAAATGTGCATAGTCAAGTAAAACAAATTCCCACAACTTCATGTCCAAAAAATATCTCATTCAGCACCCTGAAGCTATCGTCTCTCTATCAGGAAATAGGTAACCTAAATCAGAGGTGTAGAACAATCTGTATGCAGGCCACAATACTCCCTAGTGGCCCCGAACCAGATTAAAATATCATTGGGAAGTATTTAAATAAACAATTAAAAAAAAGAACTACATAATATTAATATATGGTTTTCTAAGTCAACCTGCAATAATCAAGGGTCTTTTTCTATGTTTGATGGCCCCCATTTCTATTTGATTTTGACACTGCCCTAGATCATCATCCAGTCCTTCGAAATCACGAGTGGTTACTGCCCTGATGAGAGTTCTTAAGTCTCTTAAAATTGTTTGTCTTTACAGTGTTATTATTATTGTGTAAATTATTTTCCTGGTTCTGCTCATTTCACTCTGTATCAGTTCATACGAGTTTGCCCAGGTTTCTCTGAAACCAAAATTTTCATCATTTCTTACAATATAATTGTATTTCATTATATTCCCATACCATAATTTATTCAGCCATTCCCTGTAATGGATGGGCAGCTCCCTTAGTTTCTAGGTCTTTGCCATCACCAAAAGGGGTGGGGCTGATATATTTTTGACCTGAGTTCAAATCTGGCCTCAGACACTTACTAGCTGTGTGACCCTGAACAAGTCACTTAACCCTGTTTGCCTCAGCTTGCTCATCTATAAAATGAACTGGAGAAGGAGATAATAAACCACTCCAGTATTTTTGCCAAGAAAACCCTCTAGACACGTGGTTCAAAGGGTTATGAAGAGTTGGACATGACTGAACAACGGGAAATGATTCCCATACCAGTATACCCCCTCTGGTGATTCAGGTTCATTTTCCAAGGGCATGGTATCATTCATTCATACTGCATCTACAACAGCTTCCCCAGGGCTCTCTGAAGGGCATCTTTCAGTTCCTTGTTCCTCATACTGTAAATCAGAGGGTTTAAGATTGGCGTGATAAAGGTATAAACCACGGATACCACTCGGCCCATTTCGGGAGAATAACTGGAGCTAGGAGACAAGTAAACGAAGCTAGTACAGCCGTACTGCAGTAGGACCACGGTGATATGGGAGGAACAGGTGGAGAAGGCTCTGCGGCGCCCTTCTGCTGACCGGATGCGTAAGATGGCTGCCACAATGTAGACATAGGAGATGGAGATGAGCGCGAGGGGAATCATCAGGACGATGAAGCTGATGATGTACAAAGCAGTCTCGTGGGTGCGTGTATCTGTGCAGGCCAGGCGCATGACTGCAGGCATGTCACAGTAGAAGTGGTAGATCTCATTACTGTGGCAGAATGGGAGCCGGAAAATCAACATCGTCAGGGGCAGGGACAGCATGAAGCCTAGCACCAGAGATCCCACCGTCAGCTGCCTACACAGCTGCCAGCTCATGATGAGGGTGTATCTCAGCGGGTAACAGATGGCTACGAAGCGGTCATAGGCCATGACAGCTAACAGCACACAGTCAGCGCCACCCAAGAAGACAAAGAAGAACATCTGTGTGCCACACCCAGGGAGAGAAATTGGGGTTTTCCCCATTGACAGGAGGTTGGCCAAGGCCAATGGCGCAATAGCTGAAGTATAAAACATCTCTAGAACTGCCAGATTGGCCAGAAAGAAGTACATAGGAGTGTGGAGTGAGTGGTTGGCCTGGACCATAAGCACAATGGCGGCATTTCCAGTGAAGCTAATCAGGTACATAGCCAAGAAGGCCACAAAAATCAACATCTGTACCTGAAAATGAGGCGAGAATGGGCGGAAGAAGAACCAGATCATCTCTGTTTGATTTTCCATGAAAACAACTCCTGGGACCTATTAAAAGAAATGAGGATATCAGGATTTCAGAAGGGCCTTGTTGAAACCAAAATCATTTTATAGAACTTTTAACCTTCCCACCTTGGTAAGGTAATACAAATTCATTTCTCAGTACTTAGCACACAAGAGGTAGGCAGCATAGGGGATAGAAAAATGACCTAAGAGTCAGGAATACCTGGGATCTAGTCCTGCCTCTGATGCATCCTGGTTGTGTGACCCTGGACAAGTCATTTCAACTCTCCATGCTCCCAGACAAATGTGTAAGAATATAAACCGCAAATCAGCCACCAGTCTGGTTAGGTGAGTTCTTCAGCAGAAACCCCCTATGCCAGTGAAATTTGAGGGGGTCTACTCCACCCCAAAATCATGTACGTATTTGTGTCTTAGCCCATTATGGGACTGTAAGTTCCATAAAGGCAGGGACTGACTCCCAATCAAACACTCTTCCCACTGTGCCTACCTTCCACTCCCATCTCTGTATTTTATCTGAATTTTGTATCTCCCTCAGCACCCAGCATAGTACTCTTTCTGGTGCTTAATGAATGTTTGTTGAAAGAGTAAGAGAATGGATGAATGGATGGACAAATGAATGAATGAATGAATTTGGAATGCTAGGCTTCAGAAAAGTTCAAGTTAAAAAATGTACTGTATATAAGGCATAAAACTTATACGTGAAAAATGCGATGCTTCAAGAGTTTGATAGATGCCCAATCTCATTGATATGGGCATTCCTTCCAAGTACTGATCACAACCCATCTCACATGTGATACAAAAGTTGAGTATGGGGGTGGGGCAGCTAGGTGGTACAGTGGATAGTGCACCAGCCCTGAAGTCAGGAGGACCTGAGTTCAGATCCAGCCTCAGACCAAACACTTGACACTTACTAGCCGTGGGATGCTGGGCAAGTCACTTAACCCCAATTGCCTTAAAAAAAAATTAGTTCAATAAAGTTGTACAATGTAAGATAAATCCACCCCAAAAAGTCATGTACATTCCTACTACCAAGAAAACTTGTTTTATAAAAGAAATCCCATTTCTATCAACTATAAAGAAATCAAGCATCTAAGAAACAACTTGAATATCTACACAGTCTCTGTGATTTTTGTTGAGTCACCAACTAAATAGGCTTCAGTTTCCCCAGCTGTGTGATGGCAGGGTAGATCCTTTGATCTACCTGGGGGAAGGGTAGAGTAGTCCAAACTTATTAAAGTTCTTTTTATTGTACATTTAGGATTTGTTTATGTGTCCTTATAAAAATGTAATAAATTCTTAATTTTGCTTTTTAAAAGCACCCCCTCCAAAAGATATCTACATGCCAACAAAACCCCATTCAGAAATAAGGAAAGATCTAAGTAATTGGAAGAAAATTAAATGTTAATGAATAAGTTGGATAAAATATGTTGCAGTAAAAAAAAAATGTAAGGGGACAAAATTTCCTAATTTAATGTATTGATTTTATTTAATGCCAATAAAAAAATTAATAAATCCCTTTGTTGACCTATATAAAATCATAGAAAAATGCATAGGAACTAGACCCATGTTATTATTGGTATTAGAAATTGCCAGGTGAGGAAATTGCCTCTACCATGCAGGTTGGCACTTTATTTGCAACTTACATTCTTAGAGAACACTGAGGGGTTGTGACTGGCCCAGGATTACACAGCCACTATGTGTCAGAAGTGAACATAAACCCAGGTTTTGCTGGATTCCTTCTGTCTCCTACTCTTCATTGCCTTGGAGTAAAGCACATATAGGAAAACAATGGGCCAGAATTGAATGCAATTCTTACAATAAGGTGGAGAGATGAGAGGTAAGTGATCATTTAATTAGGAGGATTCAGAACTGGTTGACTAGTAAGACCCATTGATGGTTTAGAAGATCCTTGGTGAAGTGATCCAGGGATAAGTACATGACTAGCAATACTCAGGGTGAACTATAGAGTCCAGCTTAAGGAGACAAATTTAACCAAGTGGGTGACATTAAGAATTGATTGGATGAGATAATCATGACTAAAATGTGGCTTTGGAAGGTTATACCTTATTCAAAGGAATAGGATAAGTAAAGGGAGAAAGGCACTGTAGCATTGTAGGTTAAGGAGAAGGATGTGAAAGAAAGAGATGAAGAACCATGGTGGAGAACAGCTGAGGAAATATCAATGGAGGCAGAAAAAGAAATGGCATTGCTATTGAAGATCACTGGGACAGAAAAGAAACAGGGTGTGGTACTGAGGCATACTGAAATGATGATGAGGGGCTTCAGTTATGCAGACAGCAGCTGAAAGCTGTTGCTCAAAGTACAGAAACTACTAATTTCTTACCTTGCCTTACTAAAATCCTTTTAAAAGGTGGAGGAACCAACATAAGGAATTGCTTTTCTCAATGTGGTCCTCACCACCATAGAAGAATTGGTTGCTAATGTAGAAATAATGGGAACTTTGAGAGGAAATAGCCACTCCTTCCTAAAGTTTGTGACAGAGGAGAAGAGAGCGAGAGTAACTCAATGTCAATCCTAGAATTGGAGTCAGAAAGACTCATCTTCCCGAGTCCAAATCTGGCCTCAAACATTTACAAGCTTTGTGACCCTGAGCAAGTCACTTAACCCTGTCTGCCTCAGTTTCCTCATCTGTAAAATGAGCTGGAGAAGGAAATGGCAAACCACTCCAGTATCTTTGCCACGAAAATTCCACATGGGGTCACAAAGAGTCAGACATGACTGAAAAATGAATCAACAATAACAACAAAAAGATGTAGAGAAAGGATAGATAAGAAACCCTGATCTATAATTCTACAAGGGAAGTCAGACAATAAAAGATGAAAAACTCTCAAGAATTAAATTTTGAAGACCAGAAGAGAAATAGTTCTAATGAGGACCTGGCTCTGAATCCTGCCTCAGACACTTAGTAATTTTGTGACACTAGGCAAGTCAATTAACCATAGTATACCTCAGTTTCCTTATCTAGCTCTGTGATCCCATGAAGATTTGGATTTAAATCCTACCTCTGGGATTTACCAGCTGTGTCACCACTTAAGCTCTCTAAGTCTCAGCTTCTTCATCTTCAATAGTTCAGATGTTCTATTTGTACCACCTGCAGCACTCCTTCCCGTGTGTATCCTCAGAAAAGCTATCCCAGGTTTGAGGCACTACACAGGTTAGAACCCAGTTCATGAGCCCCCACTAATGTGTTTCCTTTTACTAGCCAGCCAGAGGACACAGTTCAAAACAAGAGACGTTGAATCAAACAGAGCATCTATATCATTAGGTGGCCAGGAGAATCAAAAGGAAAATTTCCATCCATATCTTTATAAACTTTAAAGTGCTATGGACATGCTAATTACTATTAAAAAACAATTCCATAGTCTTGAAGGTTAACAAAGCACTTTTTTCACAACCACCCCAGAGGGCAGGTGCTGCAAACATTTTCATCCTCCTTGATTTATCCAGAGTGGCACAGCAAGTATGCGCCTGAGATAGAATTCAAACTCAGATCTCCCAGGGTAGCCCAGCACACTCACATCATGGCAGGCTTCTCTCAGACTGCTAGCCATTCTGCCCTACTCATGTGTGACTATGAGGAAAGTAATCTAGAAGTCCTCTAGAAATGTGAGGAATAAATGAGGAAGTTGGTGACAGAGAAGGCAAAAGTAGAATTGTGTAGAACTTGGTGGCCAAAGTTCTATATATTATGTAGAATACAAAGAATTTTGTGAGCAAAAGTAGAATTATATAAAACCTGCCTCTGTGAGGCATTCCTCAAAAGTTGGGGAAACTCATCAGGCCAAAAAGGATAGAGGTGCATAAGTTAGAGTCTTTGAGAGTTCTGTGAGGTTAAAAAAGTGAAATGACTTATCTAGGGTCACACAACTAGTAAGTGTCAGAGATAAGATTTGAAGCCAGGCCTTTCTGACTCAAGTCCTGACACACTGTCTAGTACACTACCTTGTTGAGCTAGCGGCTACATGCACTTTTATTCCCATTTGATGGAATAAGAGAACTGAGGCTCATCAAGCTTAGGGGACTTGCTGAAGGCCACAGAGCTAGGAAGTGTCTGAGCCAGGATGTGAACCCAAGGCTACTGACTCCAAGTCCTAGGCTCCTGCCATGACATTATACCAGTATGGGGTTGGATTAAAGTGTTGCTATATCAAATACAGAATTGGTAGGTGACGATAAGTTTGCATTCACTGTATCACTGGTTTTCTGTGACTTTGTCTTCCTTGCTTCAATTACTCTTCTATGTAAAATAAATCTTATTCACATGGTGAATGTAAATAAAACAAAATTTAGAAAATATGATTGCATGATATGGTTGAATAGTCTCCTATGGAAATTGCAGTATATTAGGAAGAACCCCAGGCTGGGCTTCAGAAGACCTAGGGTCTATTTCCAGGTCTGCCACTAATTTACTACATAACCTTAATCAAGTCACTTTCCTTTGTTGGACTTCACTTTCCTCACCTATAAAATTGAGGGAGGACTAGATGATATATGAGGCCCTTTATAGTTCAGATACTCTAATTGTACCAAGTGGAGCACCCCCTCATACTTCTGAGTCACCAGAAAAGTTGTCCCAGGTTTGAGGCACACATAGGTCAGAACTCTCTCAAAATCTAGTTCATGAGCCCCCACTAATGTGTTTCCTTTTACTAACCATCCAGAGAACACAATTCAAAACAGAAGACATATAGTCAAGTAGCAACATATCATTTACCTTAAGGTATTTGATTTCAAAACTAGTAGAGAAAAGAAGATATTACCTTTAATACTGTGAAGACTTTGCCTGGGGAATAGATATTTTCTAGCTCTGGAGCTGTTATTCCCAGGCTCTTTGAAAGGATCAAGAAAGGTCTGGGCTACCTGGTGAAAAGAGATATCCTAAGCTCAATTGTACAGAAGCAAAAGACACATTAGCACAAGATGTACTTGGGCTCAAATACTACTTTAGATACTCCTTAGCTGGGTGACCATGGGCAAGTCACTTC